TGGATTGATTGATTGATTGATTGATTGATTGATTGATTGCCTGTGGGTCACGCGGACCCTTGCTTTGCAAGGCATCGACGGCTGCACCAACAGTTGCAGAGCAGCCCGGACAACATGCACAAGCACACAGCTACAGAGCAGCCCGGATAAGATACACAAAGATGCACAACTACACGTCGGGGTACGGTCATGATGGTCTGTTGGGCGTTTATGCACACGGGTACATGGAAATACAAATGTTGCGGACACCGCCCGATATGCAAAACTCGACCTTTGCGCCAACCCTGCTCCAGGGATGGAAAATTAAAGTCTGCTTCCAGAATGTTCCAAGACCGTCTAGAGTCTCTAGCATAATAGTAAGTAGTCGGATGGATAGATTCACGACATCCGCATGTGCCCATCAAGCCGCACGGTACAGCACCATCGTAAGCGCCAGCATCAACGCAACAGACCTGAGGAGAGCAAGAAGCATCTACTAGGCTTGGCATGCACCGCTAGGTCCTGGCAGTGGGATGCCATTGCGGATGATGGCCTCCTTGAGGAAGCCGCGCGGCTTTGGCCGCGTTAAGGAAAATCTGACAAAATGCTCGACTTCTCCAATGCCAAAGTATTCTGCAAGGTCATCGCTCTAAACCAACTCGGCCTCGTCCATGTACTTTTACGGAAACATGCCCCAGTATCGTCCGAGGTGTCTGGGTGAACCTGAGACGAACGCCAACTGCAAACGCAGCCAAGCAGCGAAGCGTATTCCAAAGCCCAGCAACAATGACCCAGCCACTGGAGGTGCCATAGCCAAACGCGTCCAAATCAAAATTCCTGGGCACATTCCATCATATTCCATCCTTCTCATGCCTTGCCTACTTAGATGCAACATCCAGCTTTTTGCTACGAACGCTGCTCATGCAGCGCCAAGTCTTTCGGTGGTCAAGGCGGTCGACACATGCGGCGTTTGTCCAAATCTTTGCAACCAGGGGTCAGGGCCAGCTGCACTGTTGCATTCGGGGCCAGGGTTCCGTTGGACGGTGACACTGTCGTACAGCTGCTGTTGTCCCCCTCCGTTTATTTGCTGAAGTCCTTCATTTCTCCAAACTATCGCAGGGCCTTGCCTTCCCTGGACTGACAGTGACCTGGAAGGGTAGCTCCACGCGACCTGCTGCTCATCTCATGGCATGTTTGTACACAGCAGGCCATGCAGCCTGTGTTGTGAAGGGTGATGGTGTCCTTGTAATCCTCTTCGCTCTTACCCTCAGGAGCATTGGTCTCAACCGAAGCATTTACCAAGGACTTGATGCTAAGTTCTGGACCACGTTGTCCTTAGTTATGTTCTGTTTGTCCACCGTATATCTGGCTGCATTTTGCAGCTCCTCCAAACAAAGCTTCAGGCGGTTCCTGTTCCAGCTCCCTTAAATTGAGTCTGAATATTGAAGTCATAGGGTCGAAGCACCCAGGGACAGTGTCATATCTAAAGTACAAGCCCAGTCCTCCAGCGGCGCAAACAAAAAGATGGCCCACCTGTGTTGAAACCCATGGTACAAAATGGCACGAGCTGGTTGTTGGCCATGCTTCCCAAGACACTCTGGGTTGGCCATCAGTCTGCAGAACGCCTGACGGGTGGTAACTAACGCTTACAAGATTCACTGCCAACCACCTGAACCTTTCTGAGGCTCCAACGGCCAAGTGCTCCCCATCCTTGGGTACGTGGAAAGTTTGGGTCCTGAAGCTGCCAAGGCCGAGGCATGCCGAGGCTGACAAAGGACAACAGCATCAAGGAATCACAAGGAACAGCAATGTCAGCAACTGGTGTCCAGGCCTCACCCCCACAGAGCAGAGGTGCTCACTGCGGAGCGAAGCATTGAACGTTGTCTCGAGCAGGTTCCGGAAGTCGATGCCGCTGAACCTCAGGTGGTCTTGCAATCAAAGACATGACCGCTCGCTCAGATCGTAGGAGGCAGCTGTTGAGTCTGAGCCGCTGCGGCTCCAATGCGTGCTTCAATGACAGTGGCGATGGCGGAGTCCACCTGCACAGCCAGGTTTTTGTCAAAACTTCTCTATGCTCTATGTGCCCGGCCAGCAGTCTGTCCTGCATGGCAGTGCACGCGCGGTCAATTTATTGCCGTACCCCTGATCCTGACCCTGGCCCAACGCAAAAAGCAGGGCAGAAGCAGAGCTCCGTCGTTTGGCGTTGCAGGGAGCTTTGCCAGCAGGATTCCTGGCTGCAACGAACACGCAATGCACAAACAAAATCAAATGCCACCCTGCACTTGTCTCTACCAAGGCGCCGCAGGTCTTCTTCGAGAAAGCCGTCCACAAAAATTATGTCGCGCGCTCGCCGGCTCATGGCAACCACCTGATCCCGGCTACAGTCGGCTATAGGTTCAAGACAGTTCGCGAACCTCACGCCGCTCCTGCACTCCCACCTTCCCGTCTGCGTCGGCAACCGCGGCATAAACGTTTGGGCTCAGTCGGAGGTTGCTCAAGACCTGTGCACAACGCACAAAATTTCAGGCTGAGCTCAAGTATCAACTTTCAGCTGGGACCTCGCCGGCATATGTCATATTGACAGTCATCGTGATGGTTCCCATAGGAGTCTTAGACACTCTCAAACTCAATCAATCAGTGCATGGAAGCCCTTGCGCGTCCTGCTAGCCTGGATATCCTGAGCCCTGCGCCAGAGTGCCTTTGTCGTCTCTGAAAGTCACAGCAGAAGCCTGCGAAGGGTAGAAAGAGCACTTGGAACATCCTCGCATACGCCGCTTGTGATACTGCCGCATGCGGCCTCACTGATAAGATCCCCGGTTGTTCGGCTTGCGGCGGCTGGCGTCCAGTGTAACCTGGGTATTTCATGGTGTGGCCTTCACAAAGCATGGAAGATATTTCTGGGAGTCTACCCAATCTTGACTCCCTACCTGCCTCTTGCATGCTCACTATTGCTCACTCTTATCGACGCAAGCATACGCACGGCATGTCTGGCTCGGCTTTTATTGACGGCAGCCCAAGTTTTGCCTGCGCCTGAGTAGGCCTAGCTTGGGATGTTGGACCTGACTTTCGACTGCAGAGCACCTTCCTTTCTTTGTCACCTCTCTTTCTTCTCTTCCCTCTTGTATGGGCCCACAGAGACCCTCAGGCCACGTTGTTAACTTTGGCTGTGGCTTTGGCACAGGGGATTGATGCACGAGCACCGGGCACTAAGCCCTCGCCAGCGTTGTGTCGGTTTTCCTGAAACTGATGGGTTGCATCCGTGGGCTCTCAAACTGAAGGACGATGTAGAGGCTCACGGGAAAGCAAGCATGAAAAGTTCGGTATCATTGCTGAATACTTATTTTTGACGGTATTCATAGGTTCCATGGTCCCACCTTCTACAGAACACCTGCTGGTGACACGTGCCCGGTGCGGTTCTGCCAACAACGCTGCTGTAGGAGCAAGGTACAAAGATGGTGCGCACAAACATTGCGTCACCGTGCAACAACCATACCATCTTGCAACTGCACTCAAGACTCCTCCAGCCGCTCCATGCAAAGCAAACCGCTCTTGCAGGCAAGGTAATGCTAACTAACTACAGCGGTCTTCGTCAAGCACAACATCAAAATGGGTGACTACTTTAGCACCTCCGTCTGCCTACTGACAGGCCATTAGTATGCACCTCGCAGATTGTTAAACTGAGCCATGGACGTGATGGAGTGACATGATGAGCGGTGAATGGTTCTGCGTGAATGGTTCTGCTGCCTCACGAGCCTTCATGACTTGCGTATTAAATAACCAACAACGCTCAGAACCACTTGGGGGGAGAGAGCGCATACAGCTTGCAAAGGTGTTTCGTGTCTGGACTCCCAGGTTATGGCTTCAGCCACTTGCAACTAACTCGGTCATGGGAGTCGCCTGGCCGACAAGAATACTGTTGGGTGTATAACATGCACCTAATTAGGAATGACATGGACTGACTGAGGGTGTACATACACACACACACACATCTGACCCATGATTTTGTTTTACAAAAAGACGGACAGCAGTCATGATCATTGAGAGGGCGAGGCAGCTGATCGGGTGTCGGCAAGTAAAGTTACAGAATAGAAGAACTAGTAAGGCCATAGACCATATAGAGCTATTGCGGGTGCGGTGCCCCAAGCATGGGAAGCACTGTACGCAGCAGTAGCTGTTGTTGCAGGAAGGCGTGTCTCCACTCTCAACACAAAGCTTCGGGCAAGGCGGCAGCCTGACGACGTGTGGCACCTAGCGCCCATGGCGCCCATAGCGCCCACGAGTGTTTCCCCATTAGAACTGCTGCTTTTAAAAGATAACAGGGATGATAAGAAGGGGTCCAGGCCGGATCGACAACGTGCGCGAGGTCCTTTCATCCGACTACATTCAAAACACGAAGCCTGTCTAAATAAATAGATCGCCAGAGTGCCGCCTGGAACCGTTTTCCGGGTCTAGTGATGGCATCAGGGATCGGCGGCAGTCCATATCAGGCCATTGTTCAACAGCAAGTTGTGAGTACGGTGAACTTGCGTGGGCAAATTAGTTCGATTCAGTTGGCATGGGAAAACTTGCTCCACCCACACAGAGGGTAAGGCTTCGCAACGACTTACGAGTAACGGAGAGTTGTATCGTCACCTGTCGCCTCCTTGGATTCTGGAAAGGCAGGTAATTGTGCCAGAAAAATCCCAATTAGGCGTGCAAAGCAGGCCATCTGGAAAAGCAGGCTCACGTGGGAAATTTGGGATCCATTTGATATGTCCTGCACGTGGTGCAAAAAAGTCACCAAATTGATGGTCCGCGGTAGCACACATTTTAAGAAGTGTGCGCGATAAGGCGTTGACTTTATGTGTAGGCAGCAACACAAAGAAACTCGCTTTTGACAACAAAAGGTACGTTGAACCTCCGACGGGCCCGAAAGAGATGAAAGGCTTGTAGCCAGGAACAAAACAGAGACAATGGATGCACTGTCGTCCGCTTGGACCACAGAGTTAAAAAGCAAATTAAACTCGGTCGCAGAATCGCCGTACATGGTGAAGCTGAGATGCTTGCAAGCGTCGCCTCTATTCAAGATTAAACGTGGGCACATCATGCAAGGCAAATTGTTGCTGTGTCGCTGTGTGCGTGCGGAAGAGGCTGGGAAACAGGGGCTCCCGCACGGTAGCAGCGGAAGGCTGCGCTTATGCATCGTTGCCTTCCATGCATTACGAAGCCGGAGAACGTGGATTTGCAAATCTGGCCATTGTCGTGCCACTGGCGGATGCATCTTTGGTACAAATAAGGGCATCCAGGGCGCATCGAGGCCAGCCCTGCCGCTGGTGCAAAATATCTGGCCAATCCTCTCGACACGTGGCGAAACATATTGTTACATGACATATTCAATGGAGGAAGTTTGGCAAAGACAGTGCCTACAGTGCTCTGTGACGACAATGTCTGCTTTGCAAACACGATCTTTTGTGGCATTCGCATCCGGGAGCACCCAGATTAGCGGGACTCTGAGAACAGGATTAGGTTGCATTTTGCGCAAGGTTTTAGTGGTAGCTTCAATATCAATGTTTTGCACTCCTTTCCACTTTCGTTGTTTCTGCTGCAGAGCGTGGGGAAATTTGCGCGCGCAAGAAAGCTCGGATGTGATGTGCGAATTTGTCTGTGCTGGGTTCAAATAGGGAAGTCTCAGGTGCGTGAGGGCTCCTGTTACAGGAGTCAAATTCACATCCCAACCAAGAAATATCCTTTGCGGCAACGTAGCAGGTCCCTAAACTTTATGATCCAATGGAATCCCTCTCCACGGATTGCATGGGTGTGCCTTGTTGGTCTTCCGTGTTAGAACAGAGGAGAAATCCACAGAACAACCCACAGGCCACTGGAGCAATTTTAAATGGGCACAAATCTTTGATTTCAATGCCCCCCATGCGTTTGGGAAGGCATGCCGGGTTTGCAGTGCAACCAGGATTTAGGCATGGACTGTTACTGCAGAGGCCCCATGTGGCTTGGCTGCGGAAGGGCATTAAACATGGAGACGGAGGCCATCGAGACGTGTAGCTTCAGACGGATCAGCTTGTTTGATGGTGACCGAAGGAGGCGGAGAAGGGGTGTGGCAGCTGCACACTTTGTTGGACATCTCCATGTTCTTTTTTTGCAGACTTGAGTGAAGAAGCCAAAGACTTCCAATCGGGAATCCGCAAGAGAGGTAGTAAGACCACGTTGGCCATGAGGATTCCTGTTAACACATGCGGGGATGGGCATGGAGGGACCCCTGACTCTTTTGACAAGTGTTTCACACCTCTGTTTGGAAGAGGTAAGACGCGTACCAGAAGTACGTTCTTCCACTTTCGGACTTGATTGCGCAACTCTCCTGAGTGTATCGGCTTCGTGTGACACTTGAACTTGAAACTCATCCTGTGCATGCTAATCTCCCAAGTACTTCCCAACAACCCACGCTTCAAAATGCAAACCTTATGTCCAGGTGAGAAAGCAGTGTCAACATGAAGTGGGGTAACATAATGAATGATGAAGATTCGGGGAAATAATGACAGGATCAATACAACTAGTGCCATTACAAATCACATGTGTGACTACGTAAAAACCCAAGTACATAGAAAGAGGGCACCATGAATGCTCAGCAAATGTACGTGCAAAACATCCTCCAACATCGTCATGACTAAGCTCAAGCAGAGCACGCCGTCTTCAGTTTGGGAACAAGAACAAGGGGATTCGCGCACCGGGAGAAGCACAGGATTCGCGCACCACCGGACGGATTCGCGCACCGCCCCGTCGGATTCGCGCACCAAGGATTCGTGCACTGGCACGGACCGATTCGCGCACCAAAAGAAAGCGGCGATTCACGCACCAAAGTGGCTGCTTCGCGCACCAAAACTGCAGGACTCATGCCTAGGCCGCTGTGGGCGTTGTGGCAGTGATAGAAAACTGCGCAGGAGCATCCAAAACCCTAAGCCGTAAATACTCCCAAGCCCTCAAACCTGAACACCCCCAACACCCCAAACCCTGAACAAAAAAACCCTAGACCATAAACACCTTAGACTCGGAACCCTCAACGTGAACCCCTAAGCCCATAAACCCTACACCCAGAACAGCCCCCTGAACACTCTGAAGGCGTAAGCTCAAAACCTTACACCCGTAAACCCTGAACCCCAAACTCCCAGCGAAACTCGAGCATGAACAGGCAAGCCCAAACCCTGAACATCCCAGCCCTAAACCCTCAACACTCCCCAACACTAAACCATACTAAACCCTACACCCCAGCCCTGAACCCTAAGCGCTAGACTCTATGTAAACCCCAGAGCCCACACCCTAAACACTCCGAAGCCCTAAGCCTTGGAACCCCAACAGCGAGCGAAACCCTAAGCCCTGAACACCCCCAAGCCCTAAGCCTTTAACACCCACAAACCCCAAAAAACACTCCCAAACCCTAAGCCCTAAACCAACCCTGAACTCCAAACACTGCCAAGCCCAAGCCCTAAACAATCCCAAGCCCTAAGCCCTAAACGCTGGAAACATCCCCAACCCTAAACCCTGTAATTACACTGGCAAACCCTCAGCCCCACACCCTGAACCCCAAACCCACACTCTAGACACTCGAAACCTGAAGTCCTAAACCCCAAACCAAACCCTAAGTCCTAAACCCTTAACACCGCTGAACGTAAAGCCTAAACCCCAAACCTTAAATCCAAATAATTACCCTGCGACTGTAAGTGGGCTCCGGGAGTGTTGGAATTGGCTTGGCTTAGTGCAAGACTCAGATCCTCTTGGTGCTTGCGTCGGCTCCTTTTGGTGTTTGAATCGGCTCTTTCTGGTGCTTGAATCGCGCAGTGCCTGAATCCTTGGTGCGTGAATCGGGTAGTTCCTGAATCGGCAGTGCCTGAATCAGCAGTGCTTGACTCGGCAGTGCTTGAATCGAGGTTGGTGCGTGAATCGTGCTTTTTCAGAAGGCTTCATCATACGAGGTGGGATCAGCAGCAGGTGCATATGCACCATGGAAGGAAACCCATCGATTGTTCACAAGGATACGTATAGAGCAGTGCCTGCCCAACTGGCTACCTGACTGGACAGATGCGCAGTGCAAATCTCCTGCTCGTGCTGCAGCTTTCTTGGTCTTCTGGCATTAGATTGATAATGATAATGGGGACATTAGTGGCAACATCCCTTTGATGCTGAATCGTGTTTCAGATTAATTCAGGTGTCGGTGTTGCTGTCATACTTGCATTAGACCAAATAAATTGATTTTGAGGCATTGGCAAGGGGGCGGTCAACTGCTATGGTATTGGGACAAGGAGTGCTTGTCATCGGGCTTGTCTGGGTGAATTACGTACCAAAGCCAAAAGTCAGCATATGGGGCTATGCAATCTGCAGCCATAGCACCCTCCATTACCGCGCAAGGGAAGACACCAAAAAGTGTTACAGACTAATAGCTCACCCTGCGGGAGGTAAGAGACGCCTTCAGCTATGACGTTAATATACGGTAAGACGGACAGATGTCGTGGTCATTGGCAAGGTGAGACAGCTGAATAGGTGTCAGCGAGGAATGTTAGAAGAATGAATAACTAGCAAAGGCATAACACTGCGATGCGCAGGCAGCACGGAGTGCGGCAAGGACTTGATTGCTGAAGAAGAGTCTGCTCAGACGCAAACTGTGCTTTCCAATCATCAAAGAGGGAACCAGGCAAACAAGAGGCTTGCCGACGTGTGGCATTAAGCCCATGGATACTGACCCACCGCAATATCTGATTTTAATATACAGTCCCTCACGGACACCATCTGTATGCACTTCCCAACATGCCTGTCAGATCTACTGCAAGCCTTGCCTGGGAATGAACTGAAACGGCACTCCCCGCGAAAATTCGCGCAAACTTATGTCACGAGTCTGGATTAGCGCCATGTCTTCTGGAGCCTGAAGCCCATCTGGCGTCATTAGCTGCACTTTTTTGGCTTTTCGTGGAGCCAGGGAGTTGAGTGCAGAAACACCAAGTGTACAAACAATGACTGGGCTTTCACACCAAACTTCCGTCACAGTCGAGCCAAAAATGCATATTCACGCTGTACTGTAGTATCTGTATTCGCTGATCATCACCAATTATTTCCGTGCACGAACGTCAGCAATGATTTCGGTGTCAAATTGGTAGGGTCATCGGACGACTTCAAGCAAACCGAAAAAAGCCATAGTATGCCATAGTGCTATACATGCTATAACCCGCATCAGGAAGATCTAGCGCGACATACTGAACAATCGCAACTGCGTGCTCGGACATCTGGTAGTGCGATAAGGACATTGCGAAGAGGCCGGCACGCAACAAACTTGCAACAGCAAATGGAAGTAACTTATAACAGATTGACTGGAGTCCCTAGTTGCAGCTGATGCATGAACGCAGTGAACGCTTCAGGAGGGAAACGTGCAGGCATTCTAAGGCTCGGGCGGAGCTGGACCGGAGATTTCCCTGCGGATTCCGCTGGCTGGCCGGAAGCTGGTGTTATAGATCATGGGATCAATCACGTTCTGTCGCACTCTGCCATTCACGCAAGCTGACTCAGCAGACTCAAGACGGGATGGGGAGCTGGTGTCTTCTAAGTTCCAAAGCTGCATTACGATGGCAGGGTCATCACCAAAGTACTGGAGCTTAGTGTGTAAGCCGGGTGTGAAGATCACCTTCGCGCTGGCAGAGAAGTCATCCACTCCGCCCCCCAGCATAGCAAAGCGAAGCCCTGAATCTGATCTAATTTCGTTGACATGCAAACCTTTCTCTGTTGGCTTGTCACCGTCATAGTAATATGCCATACCCGTATGACTCTTCTGGGGCAAGAGAACCAGCTTTTTTGTGTTGTAAGTCGTGTAGCGGATGCCCACACAGTCGTACCTGTTGCCATGTTCACCACTGTCCGTCGGGCACTCCTCGCTGTTGCACTCAGCCATGTCCTTCAAGGTCTTTGGCTCCTCAAGCCTACTGGCCAGTTGGGCCGCGTCGGCTCTTTGAAAGAGTTTTGCAAAGATGCGGATCAAGTTGTTGGTGCGCAGAAACTCGCAGTCCAACGATGAAGCCACGGTGGAAGCCATGGTCACGAACACGCTCACCGAACAGGCCTGATCCAGTGACGTCATGGCCTGCCGCACAGGCAACGTACTGCCTACATGACATGACTGTGCCTCACATCTTTCTTGAGCTGAGGTTTCGATTCTCTTGACAGAAGGACCAAGGAGCTGCTTCCGCAAGCCCTTCCACAAAGCTTCTGCGAACATGTCCCTCTAGGATGGATTTTGAGATGAAGTCTAGAATTCGAAGCTCTTTTTTTTCCATGCTGCGGCTCTGTTTTCAGAAGAAGCCAGCCCCTGCACATCCTTCGCTGAATGAACCGCTTCCGCGGCGCACACAACCCAACCTTCTTTTGGATCCCAATTCCTGACGATTCTTTCTGTTATTCCAGCAGTCCCTCGAATTTCCGTCACCATTAAAATGCTCGCTGCTCATCTCTTATTTGGATGATTACATAGCATGCCCGGCTTCTGGCTGATCCTCATGAGCTATGACAAAGCTTTCATGCGCTTATGCACCTTCACAGAACTTACGTCTCAAGTCTGCTGCGGAAAGCGCTCCAACGCAGAATATCCTTCCTGTGGCATGTTGAGCAGCTCCGTTCCCATCTCCTAACGGTTGTAACGGCCAACATAGGAAGCAGAGCTCTGATATGATATGGAACTAAAAAGCAGCCCACCCAGAACACGTGCTTTCCGCTACATGTTTCAGCCCAGCCCCCAGCCTTTCCAGGCCTAGCACAGCTTTGCAGTGCCATCACGCTCGCTTTGCATACGTTGCATTACATTGCAATGTCTTCCTAGCTGTACCTGAAGCATTATGAAGACATTCCTCCTTAGCTTTGTTTGTGCATGAGGCTTGCCGTCTGAAATGCTTGACCTCTCTCACCCGGGCTCTTCACTGGCCTCAGCACAGCCGTGGTCGCGGAGGCCTGTGAGAGACCTCTCCTCCAAAGGATCACCTTTCGACTCCTTGTCGTGTTCGAAGCCTGTGCTCTCCAGTCCCAGGAAAGCTGTCTGGCCTTGGAAGGTGTCCCCGGGACGTGCTGCACACGCATAATGTACCAAGGCCACCCATATGTAACGGGCACAAAGCGAGAAGGCCATCTCACATCCTGCGTTGCCCAGATTTGCAAACAACTCGAACTCCAGGCCTACAGCAGCCCTGCGAGCTTGAGCCAATGTGGAGCATGCCAATTGCGTACTTCTACGCTCTTACCTACGTGTGCATTGTGTGCGCATGCGCGGTCCTGTCTTCGCTGTCTGGGGCTCTGTTTCTTCTGAATGGTCCTCACCGACGGCTAGTGAGTAGGGTGGGCCTGAAACAAGGTCAAGCCCGATCTGGAAAACACTAATGCGTACCAAGCCACGTGCATTCACCGTGTTAAGTTTGGAAATAACATCACTCCCATGTATGGTCAAGGAGGCCATGCCTAAGAAATGCAGTAGCGGAACCTGTTCGAATGACCTGCGATCCAGAAACTCACGGTGAAGTTCTGCATGGAGTTCTGGCCTCACCAAATATCTTGCTGCGGTTCGTGGCTTGCTACTCAACATCCGCTAAGTAAAGTCGACCTTGGTACGGCCGCTGAATTATGCCTTTCACGGCATGCGAGTGCGAAGCACTATGTAAAGTGGTGAGAATCAGCAGATATCAGACATCAGAGGATCTCCAAGACTGCGGCGGGTGTTCCTGCCTGAAGCGGGCCAGGCTGACAGCCATGCACTGCACATTCGTAGCCACGTCAACAACCAAACAAAATGCTGTGGTATCTTTGTTTTTCTTGGCGGGGAGGGGGATTGCGCTTTAATCTGTCTTCTCAGCGAAACCTACCTCCGCGAGCTGGTCGGAGCCCCCCTCCCCCCATGTGCGCTTGTCTCAGGAAAACGAAGCAGGACTGGCACATTATACCAGCATGAAAACCAGGCTCTGCCATACTGGTTGTAATTTCGTGAAGCGTAGCAGATGCGGGGAAGGGTTCCAGCTTGCGGATTGGGTGGGGCATTCGAAGCGCGCATGTACAACACCACTACCTAGTAGCAGATACAGAATTCTTTATGATTTTTGCATGATGAGAAAGCCACGCTCCACCGCAACCCTCTTCTTTGCTTCGGCTTGACGGCCCGCCTAGGACTTTGAAGGCATGGAGGTGCGGTGCGTCTGCTACTACAACTACTAATCGTCATGATAGAAGAAATGGCAACAGCTAAAACAACACTAGGAGTAGCAGCAGTAGTAATTATAGTCGTGCCAATCGTAGTCGCGGTCCTGGTCGTCGTCGTAGCAGTAGTAACAGCAGCAGCAGCAGCAACAGGAGGAGGAGGAGGAGGAGTAGTAGTAGTAGTAGCCGCTGCCCCCCTACCAACTATGTTTGCTTAAATTGCCAAAATAAATGCGGAGGAGGCGGCATTAGAAACAGTAAGCAACATGACAACGAAGTGCTTTGCACGCAGGGTGCTGGTTAGTTCTCGAAGGCCTGCTTTGCAAGCCTTACCTGGACCATGGCTCCAAGAGATGCCAACGTGAACACACTGTCATCGAAGATTTCGACG